GAACAAAATGATGGCATTTGGCTTCGGTGATGCTTGTGAGGGGCTCAGCTTCCACCCACTTGGTGAAGTAGTCAATGGCGACGATGATGTACCTGTTGTTGGAGGTAGCCCTCGGTAGAGGGCCCACAAGGTGTATGCCCCATCGAGCGAAGGGTATGGATGTGCTGATGGGGGCATAGTTGACCGCTGGCCTGCCGGGGGCTTTCTGGAAGTGTTGGCATGTGGTACACCTTCGGGCGGGATCCGCACAATCCCGGGCCATTGTAGGCCAAAAGTAGCCTTGGATTATGAGCCATCGGGACATGGAGAAGGGTCCCTGGTGAGCTGAGCAAGTGCCATTGTGCACCTCCTCCATCGCAACCTTGGCTTCATCTTGATGAAGGCACCGAAGTAGCGTCCCGTTGTATGATCTTTTGTAAAGCCTTCCGTCCTCGATGGTGTAGCTGTGAGCCCTCAGTTTTGCTAGCTTGGCATGGGCCTCATCCTCGGGCAGTTGCCCTGTGGTGATGAAGGCGATAATATCTGAGATCCAGTCCTCTTGCCTTTGTTGCATGTGCATGACGGGGTTAGCATGTATGCTGGAGAGGCTGAGCTCCTCGACTTTGGCAATCCTTGAGATATGCTCAGGGGATTCGGCCGAGAGCTTCGATAAAATGTCGGCCTCGGAGTTTTGAGCCCTCGGTATTTGAGTAAGAGAGTGTGCCTCAAATACCTTAAGCAACTCCTTGGCCGCTTCTTCGTATTGCTTCATTCTTCCTTCCTTAGCTTCGTACTCCCCGAAAATTTGGCCGACGACTAACTTGGAGTCGCACTTGACGTGGACCTGTCGGGCTTTCATATTAGCTGCCAGCCGAAGGCCACAGAGGAGGGCCTCGTATTCGGCTTCGTTGTTGGAGACCTTGAAGGAGAAGCGGATTGCATAATAGGCCCGGAAGCCTTCGGATGAGATGAGACCCACCCCTCCTCCACATGCTTTGATAGCAGAGGAGGCGTCGGTGTAGAGGGTCCACCAATCGTCTGAGGGAGCCGAGGGCTCCTCGTCCGTGGCCGATCTTGCCGTGCACTCCGTCACGAAGTCCGCTAGGTCTTGGCCCTTGATGGCGGGCCTCGGACAGATATCGATGTTGTATTGGCTCAGGAAGATAGCCCATTTTACCATTCGGGAGGAGCTGGTTTGGCTCCTCATCAAAGCGCCGAGGGATTGGTGAGTCAGGACCTGGACCGGGTGAGCTTGGAAGTAGTGGCCCAACTTCTCGATGGTCCAAACGATAGCCAACACCATTTTTCCCACAGGGGAATATCTGAGTTCTGCTTCCCTGAGGGTCTTGCTGACATAGAAGATGGCATGCTGGACACCATCTTCTTCCCGGATGAGTACTGAGCTGATGGCCGCCGGGCTAACACCAAGGTAAAGGTATAGGGTTTCCCCTACCTTGGGTTTGGAGAGCACAGGGGGTGAAGATAAATACCGTTTCAATTCGTCGAAAGCCTCCTGGCATTCTGAAGTCCATTGGAAGCCGACGGTTTTCCTCGTGATCTGGAAGAAGGGTAAGGACTTCTCCGCCGATTTCGACAGGAAACGGTTGAGGGCTGCCAGGCGGCCCGTCAACCGTTGGACCTCCTTCACGTGCACAGGGGCTCCATGTTGATGATGGCCTGAATTTTCTCGGGGTTTGCCTCGATACCCCTTTGGCTCACCATGTAGCCTAATAATTTGCCTCCTTGCACGCCGAAGGTGCACTTCTTCGGGTTTAGCCGAAGGTTGAACTTCTGCATGATGGCGAAGATCTCCCTGAGGTCGTCAACATGGCTTGTTGATTGCTTGCTTTTGACGATCATGTCGTCAGCATATGCCTCCATGGTGCGCCCCAGGACGGCCTGAAATACCCTGGCCACCATCCGGGTGTAAGTGGCGCCTGAGTTTTTCAGGCCGAAGGCCATGACAAGGTAGCAGAAGATGCCCTCGAGAGTCATGAAGGCTGTTTTTTCGGCGTCTTCCGTCTTGCTTACCTTCTTCGTTACTTGAAGGTAACATGCGCGGGCGAGTTTTTGAATTCTCCTTGAGTAGCTGATGCCCCCCTCGGCTGGGAACTTGAGGCAAAGGTGCCTCATGGAGATGATGACTTCGAGATCCTCGAGGGCTGGTCGGCCAAGGATGATGTTGTGGGCGCAATCGATGTTGACGATGACGAACTCCACTTCGAGCTTGGCTCTATGGAGTCTGTCGCCAAATAGTACCGGGAGGGTTATGACCCCTTCGGAATCAATGGTGTCACCGGTGAAGCCGGCAAGAGGGGTCTTGATTGGCCGAAGGGACCCCCTCTCCAGATGCAGCTCTCTGAAGGTGCTGAGGTACATTACATTGACGGAGCTGCCCGTGTCAACGTAAGTTCTGTGGATGATAGTATCATTGATCTCCGTACGGATGACGAGGGCATCCCTGTGGGGAGAGGAAGCAGAGGGGAGATCGGCGTTCGTGAATGTGATGGGCTCCTCCCTCAGCCGCTTTACCGGGGGCATATGAGTGACTTCCCCCACGTATAGCGATTGAGCCCACTTCTTTTGTTGGCTGGTGGAGTCCCCCCATGTATTGCCACCGGTGATCATGAGGATGTAGCGCTTCTTCTCCAGGTCGTGGGGGCACTCTTCTTCTTCCTCTTCCAAATTCCCGATCTCCCTCTTCCTGCCGAGGGGGATGGTGTTTGGGTTAACCCAATCATTTGCTTTCGTTGGGCGCCCTCGGGGTGGCCCTTGGTGGGGGGACCCTATTGCTGAGGGCCTTGGACAAACTGGGACAGATGGCCCGTCTGTATTAACCTCTCGATGGTTGTCTTCAGCTGATGACAGTCATCGGTTTTGTGCCCTTGATGTCGGTGGAAGCGACAATAGGGGTAGTTTGGATTGATGGCATATACCTCCGGGGGTGCGCGAGAATCTCGCTCCACCAGGCCCCTCTCCTCAGCGCAGTCGAGGATGACGTTGACGGGGTACGTCAAAGATGTCCGAGGGTGCTCCAGAAGAACAGGCTGCGCCCAAGTCTTCGGGTTACCCTTGTAACCTCCCCCGGACTTGGCTTGGCCGTGCCGGGGCGATCACCGGGGGGTGCTGAACCCTTGGGTTGATTATGAACCCTTGTGATGGCATTTTTCCACCTCCTCGGCCTCGGCTTATCGGTCCCCCCCCCCCGCTGTAGGGACCTTATGTAATCGCACGGGGGGGGGGGGGGGGGGTCGATGATGAGGCTCCTTGAGAAGTTTCCGGGGCGGAGCACTGTTTGGAGGAGGGCCATGAGGGTAGGGTTGTAAACGAATCAAATCGAACCGAATACTTGATAATATTATTCGTATAATTATTGAATATTCGTATTCGTATTCGTTTAAAATTCGAATCTTATTTTGTATTCGTATTCGATTCGTTTGATATATTCGAATTCAAAAAACATTAAAGTTAATTTGTGAAAATAATTAAAATTATGATGTTAGTTTGCCCCTTTTAACTAATTTTCATATTACATATTTTATAGGAAACAAAATTCATTTATAGAAGTCACTTCAAATTTAATATCAATATAGATAAATCAACGGAGAATTTTAATTGTAAATTAAGCTATTTTGACTTGGTAAAGTAAGAATTTTTAAATTAAAATATGCAAAATATTTACATGAATATTTTGTTATTAATATTTTTACATAGAACTATATGTATTCATAAGAAGTAGTATATATTGTATGAATATATATATATATATATATATATATATATATATATATATATATATATATATAGGGGAGAGTTCAAATAAAAATTAGTCTTCCCGTGCAAAGTGCGAAATTTGCACTTTTATAAGTTTCGCTTGCACTTTTGCTTGTTTTCGTTGCAATTTTTCGCGGTAGGGAAAAAAATGGTTTATTTAAAAAACTGCCACCGTGGTTTTGCCCGAATTTGGCCAAAGTCGCAATGACAAAAAAGTGCAACGAAAACACGAAAAAGTGAAAGCGAAATATGAAAAAGTGCAAATTTCGCACTTTGCACGGGAACAACACTTTTTATTTGAACTCTCCCCTATATTTCTGTTGCACCTTTTCGCGGTGGCAAAAAAAATCGTTTTAATTACGAAATTGCCATCGCGTTTTTGATCAAATTTAGTTTACCTTTGACTCACTTTGAGCCATTAGATCTGGAAATGAATGCACGAGATTAATTCTCACTTTGCATGGGAAGACCTCTTTGTATTTGAACCCTCCCATATATATATATATATATATATATATATATATATATATATATATGTTGGGCCGCGGGTATGCGGTGCCAGCAATAGCCAGCCTGCCGGTGCAATCGGACCGCGTGGCGCTTCGCTCGTGCTATAAAGGGGGAGGAGCGTGCTTCACTATCAGCGATTGCTTTTAGTGTAGCGGTAAGCGCAACGATCCACAAGTGGTATCAGAGCCAAGGTCACGGGTTCGACCCCTGGCAACAGCATGCTGCGCAGTTGTAGGCTGGCAGGTGGTGGGGGGGAGATTGTTGGGCCGCGGGTATGCGGTGCCAGCAACAGCCAGCCTGCCGGTGCAATCGGACCGCGTGGCGCTTCGCTTGTGCTATAAAGAGGGAGGAGCGTGCTTCACTATCAGCGATTGCTTTTAGTGTAGCGGTAAGCTCAACGATCCACAATATATATATATATATATATATATATATATATATATATATATATATATATATATGTAATTCGAATATATTCGAATATTATTCGAATGGAATATCATAGTATTTGTATTCGTATTCGTAAAGTATTCGAATCAAAAAATAGATTTGTATTCGTATTTGTATTCTATTACTCTTGATATTAGTCAATATATAATACGAAGTATACATTTCTATAGTCAATTTATTGACCATTTTTTAGAAATAATTGCTAATTGGTGACTTACTATTACTAATATATTTAATGTGGAAACTATGAAAGAAGCTGTTAATTTGTTCAAGAAAATAATGTTTAGGAAAAAATCCAACAATTAATGGAAGAAATGGAACCCTACGTCCAAAACTCCAAACAGATCTGGGTAACCCCATCATTTATCTAACCCCGCTCGCCGGCTCTGCATCTTTACTCTCCGCTGACTCCACTCTCGCCTGCAGGAAAAGCCCATCAACTCGCTGCTACCTGTCCCCTTACGTCCGTACTCCGTCGACTGTAAGCATCCCCGTTATATTCAGCCCGGCCGTGGTCGAGGCTTTTGGCGCTGTTTCCGGCCAACCACGCACTAGGTGGAGTGTCCTACACGTACACGTGTCCACCATTGCCCCTGTGTCCGCCACGCCATTTTCCCAAGTCTGGCGTGTCCCTTTCATAGATCCCATGGAAGTGAATCAGCTTAAACCATGTAAGTTCTCGTTAACCTGTCGTTTTCCTGTGAACTAGTTGAACTGATATTCTTGCATCATCATTCTTTAACAGAACCTCGTTTCTAGCTTGTGAGCTTTTCAATTCTAATGAGCGCCGAACATATAGGGAGGTGATTCAAAACATTGGGAGAACTTCCTTCTTGGAGGGTTAAATCTTATGATATTGAATAGCTAGGGATATTGATTGAGCTGACGAATGCCAATATTAGATAGCGGTGCATACTTTCTTGCTTTTGAGGCTTAGTCCACTGCGCGTAGTTTTGATTGTAAGCAAAGCAAAGACTCCATTTTCTTGCCATATGATACCGTGCTTCAGATTAAACTTTATCAATGTTTGATTCAATTTCTTGTTTTGATTTAAGTCAATAATAAGTAACAATATTCTTCTTTGAGCAGACCTTAACCTGAACAATCTTGTGCCTCTGTACAAAAGAAAAAAATAGAAGTGGTATTACAAAAAACATCAGTGAATGTTGCAGCTGATCTTTGGAACATTGGATGAGATTAACTTAGGGAGTAAACAAATGCACAAGTCTGGATAGGATCTAGGGAGGTCGAAGATTGAGAGTAGTTGTTATTTTAGTCCACCTTTATACTTATCATTTGTTTGTAATTGTATTTGTTATTTTAGTCCACCTTAGAATGAATGTTGCTGCTGATTATTTATTATGTTTGGTACTTATTTACTAATATTATTTGTTCATTATTTTGTTAAGATGTGGTTCTTTCCAATTCCCATAGTCCTAGATTTGCCCCTAATCCATCTAATTTCCTGAATAGTATCTATTTTCAGCAGTTTGGATAGTTATAGATTCACTTGTGCTTTAATTCTAGTGTAGAGAAATATATCATGTTTTGAGGTATACAAAATGAGTTAATGTGTAAGAAATTAAAAAATAAAGTAAATCAATAAATACTCCCTCTATCCCTATATAAAAGTCCCGCTTTGAATTGCAATCGTATTAAGGAAACACTTTTTTCCCTTTTACTTCCTGAAATGCCCCATTTACTGAGAGATAAACTTTACTATATTGTACACTGTTTTGACACTGTTTAACATAGTTTTGCACTTTGCTGTCATTGTTATTTAAGGGTAATAGAGTAAATTGATATAAATTTGTTTACCGAATAGAGAAAGGAGGCTTTATTTAGGGACATCCATAAAAGGAAAGTAGGTAGTTTATTTAGTACCCAATAAAGCACAGCTTAAACTTACCCAATAGTAGGCAGCCGATGATATGAAATAATTGGGTCAATAGCTCATACAAGTAATTGATAACAATGAGTCGCTTCTCTATTCCGCCTCTTTCCTCTCCCTCCCCATCTCCTGCTCATCTCTTACCTCTCCCTCTCATCATCTGCAAGAGTCAAGTAACATCCGAGCATTGAGTCACTTCTCCATTCTGACTTGTTCTTCCGCAACTCGCAAGTTCGCAACTCCCTGCATTGTAAGTTTAATACTCTAAAGTCTGGATTTCTTCAGTTTTTTACTTCTTTAGAAATCATTAATGCTCTGTTTGGGTATGATAAACTTAAGTAAACCTAGTGTAATAATGTAAACCTAAGGTTTTTATTTGCTTGTATTTAATTAGTGTTTTCCTTTTGTATTTCACCCACCATGTTGATTTCCAGGGCTGTTGGTAAATTTGTAAAAAGTTTTACTTTTCCTAGAAAGTTGATTATAAAAAAGTATATAAAATTAATAGTGTACATTTAAATTTTTGGCATGTCAGTAAGTTTTATTTTTCATTGAAATTTGATTATATAAAAGTATATATAATTAAATTTGCAACATTAAATTATACTACGTATATTGCTCTCTATACTTTGCGTTTATGATGTTCAAATCATGTGTAATATAATTTAATTTGCTTATTTTGCTAAAACTTAATTATATACGGAATATTAGAAATTTTGTATTGCTAAATATTAAATGTATACTTTTCATATGATCTGCAAAATTAGATGTTCTTGCAGTAAGGTACAATTTGTTTACGAATTACGATGGGTAAGTTTGACTCGGCTTGGGAACATGGATGTATACTTTTCATATGATCTGCAAAATTAGATGTTCTTGCAGTAAGGTACAATTTGTTTACGATGGGTAAGTTTGACTCGGCTTGGGAACACGGGTTTCAAAGTAGAAGAAGTGGGGCTACAAGGGAAATCATACAAGTATGTTAGATGAAAATATTGCAATAAGCCAACAACATGAGGATTAGTAGGTTTAAAAAACACCACGGTTTCATACTTTATGACATTATTATTGTTAATGTTTATGAGATGTATTCATGGATTGATTAATATTTATTTATGGTTACTTCTATATTATGCACAATTTTCCTACATATTAAGACTTATGCCTCATCGTTGCGCCGCAATCCGACATAAGGTTTACCCAATACCTCAAAAACGCCTCGTTTACGCAATTCAAAATTTTGAACATTGATTTAGGGACAGAGGGAGTACAAACAAACAAAAAATGTCAATGAGGCCACTTGGTCTTAGAAAAGGTTATTGGTGATAGAATTATATTCTTAGTCAATGGTATCCTTTTATGATCTTTCTATCTTTGTTTGAAAATAATATGTTGTAATTGGAGTTGGAACTAGGGTTAATTATCAAAATAGGACTAAAAGTCACTCACTTTGCACAAATAAGACCAAAAAATAAACTATGTTTTCATAGGACTAATTATGTGTGTCTTGGACAAATATACCCTTATAGCTATTGAAATGTTTTAATTCATAATAAAATAATAAAAAAATAATAAAAATTCGTAAAAAATACTAAAAAATTAATAAAAATATTTCGATAATAATTTATTAAATTTTTTTCTTCAAAAAATAAAAAATATAAAAAAATATAAAAAAAATAAAAAAACTCAAAAAAACAAAATTAAATTCACCGCCGCCTCTGCACCACCACCTCCAGTCACCAGGGGAAAAAATGCCAAGTTCATTACGAATGCCATATTTATGGCTGAAACAATGAAAATGTTGGCATTTCCAAAGAGAAATATGCCATGTTTTTGGCATTTTCAGAAAAAATGGCAGTTTTCAGGAAAAATGACATTTTTTTCACCGGCCGGAGATGGTGGTGCAGGGAGGTAGTACAGGCGGTGGGAAAGGCATCCATATTTTTTTAATTTTTTATGGAGTTTTACTATTTTTTAATATTTTTTTTAAAAAATAAAAAATTAATTTTTAAAATTTTTTATTTTATAAATATTTTATAATTTTTTAATTATTTTTCTACAATTTTTTGATTTTTTTTCGAATTTATTATGAATTAAATATTTAATTAACTCATACTTAAAGGAAGGGTAAGAATGGAATGAAAAAATAGATATGCTTCCAATAGGACTAATATGGTCCTATTTTGAAAAGAAAAACATAGTAAGTCCTATTTTGTGTTTTTGTCATAGTTTTAGTCCTATTTGGAGTAATTTCTATTGGAACTATGAATTATTTTTATTGTTTTTATTATTGCCATTATCAAGAGGTTGTGAGTAAACAATTAATCTTTTTTAAGATTCTCAACTTGTGTATTTACTTTCTTTAAATGTGATATTATGGTATAGTTTATTGGCTTGAAGTCACTAAAGTCTGATACTATTCTCAACTTGTGTACAACTCCTACATCCTTCTTTAATTTAAGAATATTTTTTAGGGTTGAACCATCTGCTACTGGATTTGTGACTTGGAAATATAAAACTTTTTGCTAGGCAGTTGCTTGCCTATTTTAAGTTTCTGTTGTAATATATAAATACCTTCATGTTTTTGTTATGTTTAAACTTTGAACATTGGATGTAAGGGAATGGCCATAACTTTGACAGTTGTTGTTTAATAAGTTTTGAAATATGATTATTTTTATGTACAACAACAACATTCAAGCCTTTAGGAACCGAAAAATGTAAGAACCGAACCGGTTAGACCTCTTCCAGAACGGTTCTACTTTTTTTACTAAAACTGAACCGATTTTAACAACTACGTTTTTAAAACGGTTGTACTAAATTTCAACCAGAACCGATCTGATCCCAGGCCTACCTTCACTTTGAGTTTGTCTCGTTCTGTGATGATATCCTTGTGATTTAGAAATTTGTTTCCGATCACATGTTCATGAATCATTGATGAATCCCCCCCCTCTATTTATGCAGACACTTTAGTCATGTCATAGATATCTCATTGTCATGTCGTCTAAAGGCTCAAAAACTAAACCTGACCATGAAACACGTGCCAGGCGACAAAAGGTACATATATCGACCTCTGCTTGATTTTGCATTTCGCTAAAGAAGTTTCAGAGGATATGGCATTCATTTGTATATCATTGGCTTTTAATGGTTGTTTTAAAATGATTTGCTAATTTGTTTTGTTACTCTTGACCATGAAGACAATTGGTAGAATGATCTTCAAAACGTAGTATTTAAAAATGAGTTTTTTCTTCAAAAACATTAATGATTGTGAAAGTTAAAGATCTAATTTTGTTTATTATGTTGATCCAATGTCATTTTCATGAGATATCGGGGTGGCCCTAAGGGGAATCTTGAAGTCTTATGTAGTTATGTGTACTAAACACCATGCTTGATATGGCGTCACCTAGGCGACAAGTAGGCGCCACTTATGCATCAAAGGGAAGACTGAATGGCATTGTTTTGGTGTTCATGGTGGTGCCCAAATCTTTTTATTGCCTAATCAATTTTGACCCTGCAACCAGACAAGAAAAGGAAACTCTTATATATAGAAATTACAAACCTAAAGAGAAACGCTGCCGTCAGTTGCTCACCTGCTCTGCTCTCCACTGCTCACATATGCTGCTCGTCTCTGATGCTTGCCAGCCCACCTTTTTCTTTCATCCTTTTTAAATTCTTGATTTCCCTCCCTCTTCTTTCTTTGTTTTCTTTCTTTAGGCAGCAGTCACATCATTTCCTTATGTTTCTTTTTCTTTCCATTTCTAGGCATGAGTTGGAAACAGTGTCCTCATATTTGAATTTATTTTCTTTCCTTTCAACTTGCAGATTTTTTTTACTTTACAAATTATTATTTTATTTTGTGATGATATTTGATACTTTGTAGCTTTACTTAATGGAAAAGAAATTCACCGTTTTCATGAATATGATTTATTAAGTAATTCTATATATATTTTATAATAATCATGGTGATTATCAACAACTTAATCTCAACTAGTTAGGTTTGGTGTCATTAAATCTCTAGCGTTAATTAATTGTTTAAATTTTTTATACACTAATTCGTGCAACAAAGCACATCACAATGATTTACAATATATTGTATTAAATTACTACAAAAGCCGGCTTGCCGCGTAGACAGTTGTCAGTTGCCTAAGCAGCCCCCTCTTGGCCATAAGGCATTCAGCTGGCTCCTCACTCCGCCAAGCCATTGTGAGACCTAAACACCCTGTCCCTGTGCCGCGGTAAAAACGGAAACCATGAAGGAAAAGAAGAATAATGTTGTACATTGGAAATGATATATTTCAAACGCCCATAAATAGTTAGGATGGTGATTTCTTTAAGTTAAAGAAACTGTTCTTATGATACATGTATATTTTGCTTACTTTTCATTCTAATTACCAGGCACTTGAAGCTCCAAGAGAACCTCCACGCTCTAAAACACACTGGGATCATGTTCTTGAGGAGATGGTATGGCTGTCAAAGGTAATGGTTTCACTTTCCTTCAACCAGAGCAATAAGCAGTTTACTTATAAAAAAGATATAGTTACTATTTCTTTGACTGTTACAGGACTTTGAGTCCGAGAGAAAATGGAAATTGGCTCAAGCAAAGAAGGTTGCAACAAGAGCAAGCAAAGGTGCAGACCAGGCATCAAGAGGAGAAAAAAAAGTGAAGGTATAAAAATTATTTCACTACATGAGAGATTCGAATACCATTATAACAGATTGAGGTTGCACTGTAATATTATGTGCATTTGTTCTTATAATTCTATTAGGAAGAAGAGCTACGCTTGAGGAAAGTGGCCCTGAATATATCCAAGGATGTAAAAAAGTTTTGGATGAAAATCGAGAAGCTGGTAACTACCCTACAGGGGAATCCCTCGCACATCAAAGTTCAAATTGTCATTTTGCACTTTGGAGCACAAACTTACCCATGCTTTATTCTTTCAGGTTCTCTACAAGCATCAGTTAGAGCTCGATGAGAAGAAGAAAAAAATACTTGATAAACAGCTTGAGTTTCTTCTTGGGCAAACTGAGAGGTGCAATTCTTTCATTTGTGGTTTTGGTGTGGACTTAAGTTGTACATGTCTCGACCAATTTGATGTGACATTTTCTATTATTATTATGATCATTATTGTAGGTACTCAACAATGCTGGCAGAGAACCTAGTTAGCTCACCAACACAGTGCAAGGGGATTAAGAAATCCTCTTGTCAGGAAAACTTGCAAACTCAACATGGAGAAGGAACTCTAGATGATGAAAACAGAAGTGCTGAAGAAAAATTTGGCAAGTTGATGAATAGTTTATTTACTGCATTTTGTAATCTCATCTTTGGGTTGCTTTCGTTCCCTTCTCTCACAGCCTTTAAATTGTGACAGAGTCTCAGTCAGTTGTTCCTGATAGAGATGATGATTATGGTTTAATGTCTGAGGATGGCTCAGTAAGTTGCTTAGTTGTATTTTACTTTTGCCACGTAGTGCCTTAATAAAAGTAAGCTATTTAGAAAATGTGCAGGGAGTGTACTAATATCATATATTATTTCCCCATGTGGTGAATGCTAATACTGATTTAGGAAGATGATGAGCATACAATTGAGGAAGATGAAGCTCTTATTACTAGGGAAGAAAGAGAAGAAGAACTCGATGCCCTACAAAAGGAAATGGATCTACCTATTGAGGAGCTTCTGAAACGTTATGCAAAGGAGCAAGGTATACCATACTTCCTGCCTGGTTGGAGACGATATCAAATTTCTGCTCTCATGGACCCCATAACTGAAAAACTATATTTTTCCTTGGGCAAACTAGTGTAACCGAGTGCAAAATATTGATTCTGAGGCTTTATCTATGACTTGTTTTGTCGAATCATTCCTCTGAATGTTTCTCCAATCATTTATAACCCAGTGCAAAATGCTCTCAGTCTGCAGAGAAAATAGCCTAGTTGAAGATGACAATGTGCCTAAGGTGATTAGCTCTCCAGAAGATAATGGTAAGGCAGATGAGCATTTTTGGATCATTATGTATTTTCCTAATGCTGAAAAATTAAACTTCCATCTGATGCGAGCAACTTGTTGTCCAGCCAAAGAGGGAGATTTTGCAGTTGGTTCTGATATTGAAAGAGACACCTCCTCTCCAACTCCTGGTCGTGGTTGTGTAAGTTGTATGTGTTTGTGGTTGCAGCCTTGAGTATAAAGCATACATATTTCTCAAGTTAATATTTCCTTTTGGTTCTTACAGGTTGAAAACAATGGTGTTTTGTCAACTTCTGATAATCATTTGAAAGAACTGGAGCCCAAGTATAGCAACACACGAAGGAGACTCCAGGGTTCCGGCAAAATGCATATTTTAGATGAATTTAAAAACGAGCAGGTGCTTTTGTGAGCCTGTTATTAATTCGACTTATGTAACTTATTTAATTTTTAGATGAGTCTGGCTATTGAAATTCCAATACTAGAGTTCCCTGGATCCTGTGCTTTTTGCTATTATGGGTTTTAAGAGCACATACACAAGCTATATTAAGGACTTGAGGGACATGCTTATACTGCACGTTTGAAATTATAGGTTTTATACATGGTAGCTAAATATGAAACAGTGCACAAGAGTTGCTTTACAATTCTTTATTGTCATTAATTCCCATATCCCATGACAATTAACATACATAGTACATTGATGGAATTAAAAATAACTAGTGCCTTTAAATTCATTGTGTAGTTCATGCCTGTTGTCTCTCACGATTGGTATAGAGTGGTAACAGATGTGGCCATTTTTAAACTTTTATGCAATAGGAGTGTAAATGATCATATTGGTGGTTCTTTATCTTGTTGGTGGAAAAAAGATTTCCTTTAACACCGTTAAGTAAATAATTCACTGTTGTTATACATCTGCAGACATCTTTTATTTATGACTATGAGGCCTTGCATAGGTTTCACCCGCCATCTGCTTACTTAAAAGAAGGAATAAGTAAAAATCATGTTATAGATAGATATAGCGATGCTGTCCCCGGTTGTTTTTATTAATAATGTTCTGTAGATAAACCCCAACAAAAACAATGAAATGCCTTTTTCTTTTGTTTATAACTTTTATTTCTCAGCAGAACCTATTCGTATTTATAAGATTTTTATGGGCAAGCGTTTGATGCTATTAATAGTTCTTTTCCAATCGGTGCAGGATGGTGTTGATGATGATGGTGATTTTGTTACAGCTTTTGAAGACAGTGAAAGTTATGTGGTAAGAAGCTTTTGTTATAGCTTTACATATTCATTCATTCATCATCATTACCCCAGTGACGCAAAGGCTCCCACCTACGGTGGGGTAGGGGGGGGGGGGGTCAGAGAGACTGTTTCCGGATGACCCAAGGTGAAAAGCGCGTCAAAAATTGCATGGACTGACTGCTGTTTCATAACAAAGAAGCGCAGACAGTTTAGTGAGCCATTTTGCTTTATTTCATCACATTCCCAAGCCAAAAGATGGTGAATCTTTGGCTCCATTGCAAATGATGGAAATTGTTATAGCTTTACATATATTGAAAATTATTTCTTGTTACACCATAATCTCCTATTGCCCTTGTGGGTAGTGATGTGGCACTCATTATTGTTCCCATCATTTATAATTTGGATTCTTTCTTGCTTTGACTCCATAATTTAGGCTGTTATACCATAAATATCTTCAGGATGATGAGACGACTCTTTTAGAGGAGGAGGAGCTAGCAAAGGCAGAGCCAAATGGTGGGGAAAATGAGGTAGACGTTGTCTTGGCTTCTACAGAATTCAACATCTATTGTAGAGTTCTGGTAGGTTTTCTCTATAAACCAAAGGGTGAATGTACAATTTGTGATTTTCAGATTCTACTTTTGCAAATGGAGGGTGAAATTCCTATAGATGAACTACTTGCAAGGTATAAAAAGGTATGCGCGATAATTCTTGCATGTAAACTTATTGTTACTTCTGAGTTTTGATTTTGTTATTGCGTCACATCTCCCTTCATAGGACAATGAGTATGATGATAGTATGAATAGTGGCTCTGAATCTGCATCCTCATCGGGTTCTGAGGGATTATCTGGTTCATCAATGCACGGAATGTCCAATCTGAAAATACTGGATGATGAATCAAGAGTTGTGCAACCCATTGCATGCCCTGATAAAGAAGTTAATGAAACTGATGTTGTGGTTAATTCTGGTGAAGGAGAAAGTGAGAATCGACTTGCTGATGCAGCCGCAGCTGCTAGATCTGCACAACCAACGGGTAATACATTCTCAACAACAAAAGTGCGTACTAAGTTCCCTTTCCTTCTGAAATATTCTCTACGTGAGTACCAACACATTGGGTTGGACTGGCTTGTGACAATGTACGAGAAGAAACTAAATGGGATCCTAGCAGATGAAATGGGTTTGGGGAAGACAATTATGACTATTGCTCTTCTTGCTCACCTCGCCTGTGATAAAGGAATATGGGGCCCTCATCTCATTGTTGTCCCGACTAGTGTCATGCTTAACTGGGAAACTGAATTTCTCAAGTGGTGTCCTGCCTTTAAAATACTGACGTATTTTGGCAGTGCAAAAGAGCGGAAGATAAAGAGGCAAGGATGGTTGAAACCAAATTCTTTCCACGTCTGTGTTACAACTTACAGACTTGTAATACAAGACTCCAAAATTTTTAAGCGGAAAAAGTGGAAGTACTTGATTTTGGATGAAGCCCATCTTATTAAGAATTGGAAATCACAGAGGTGGCAGACCCTTCTTAATTTCAACTCGAAACGGCGTATTCTGTTGACTGGTACTCCGTTACAAAACGATCTTATGGAGCTGTGGTCTCTGATGCATTTTTTGATGCCTCATATTTTTCAGTCTCATCAAGAATTCAAGGATTGGTTTTGCAATCCCATATCTGGTATAGTTGAGGGGCAAGAAAAGGTGAACAAAGAAGTTGTTGATCGTCTGCATAATGTCCTCCGCCCCTTCCTACTCAGACGATTGAAAAGAGATGTGGAGAAACAGCTCCCCCTAAAATATGAACATGTCATCTATTGTAGACTCTCAAAGAGACAGCGCAATCTGTATGAAGATTTTATTGCTAGTGCTGAGACACAAGCAACTCTAGCTAGTTCAAACTTCTTTGGCATGATTAGTGTTATTATGCAACTCCGTAAAGTCTGCAATCATCCTGATCTATTTGAAGGACGCCCTATTGTAAGCTCTTTTGATATGAGTGCCATTGATATCCGCTTGAGTTCTTCTATCTGCTCAATGCTTATGCCCAGACCATTTTCTGCTGTTAACCTTGTTGGTTTGGGGCTTGTATTTACTCATCTGGATTATTCAATGACTTCTTGGGAGAGAGATGACATTCAAGCTATTGCTATGCCACCAGGCTTGTTTGATGGTCTTGCAAATCTTGAAGAAACGGAATCTGAATTAAACTACGAGAGAAAGTCTCACGGATCTAGCATTTTTGCAGAGATCCAAAGGGAACTTAGGATGGACAGACTAAATGAAGCAAAGAAGCATGCAGAGTCCCTAGCATGGTGGAATTCTTTGAAGTGCAAAAGGAGACCCATTTACTCAACAGATTTACGTGATATAGTCACTATAAAATATCCAGTAAATGACATTCACAGTCAAAATAACAATCCATTTACTTGGTCCTCTAATCTTTCTCATATTGTACTGTCACCTGTTTCAAGATTTCAACAGATGGTCGATCAGGTTGAAAGCTTTATGTTCACAATCCCTGCAGCACGTGCTCCAGCACCTGTTTGTTGGTGCAGCAAAAGTGGGACATCTGTGTTCTTTCACCCAACTTTCAAGCAGAGGTGTTCTGAAGTACTTCTGCCCCTTCTAGCCCCTCTTCGCCCTGCAATTGTCAGAAGACAACTGTACTTCCCTGACAGGCGGCTGATACAGTTTGACTGTGGTAAGTTGCAACAGCTTTCAGTTCTGCTGAGGCGGTTGAAATCAGAAGGCCACCGCGCATTAATTTTCACCCAAATGACTAAGATGCTTGATGTTTTAGAAAATTTTATTAATTTGTATGGTTATACTTACATGCGCCTGGATGGTTCCACTCCACCAGAAGAGAGACAAACCTTGATGCAACGCTTCAACACAAACCCCAAAATTTTTCTCTTTATCCTATCAACCCGCAGTGGAGGTGTTGGCATTAATTTGGTTGGTGCAGATACAGTTATATTTTATGACAGTGACTGGAATCCAGCTATGGACAGCCAGGCTCAGGATCGTTGCCACAGGATAGGACAGACGCGTGAAGTACATATTTATCGATTAATCAGCGAGAGCACCATTGAAGAGAATATTCTTAAAAAGGCAAATCAGAAGCGTGCTCTTGATGATTTGGTCATACAGAGTGGTGGCTATAACACAGAATTCTTAAAGAAGCTGGATCCTCTGGAGCTGTTTTCGGATCATAGAACATTTCCATTGAAAAATGCTCAAAATGGGAAGAGCTCTGATGGTGCCGAGGTTCCTCTCTCTAATGCTGATGTAGAGGCCGCTTTGAAGAATGCTGAAGATGAAGCTGATTATATGGCACTGAAGAAAGTTGAACAAGAAGATGATCTGGACAATCAGGAATTTACAGAAGAAGCAGTTGCAAGGATGGAGGATGATGAACTTGCTAATGATGAAGAGATGAAGGCTGACGAGCATTATACTGATGATAATAATAATAGTAATATTAATAAAGAGAGGGCTGGTATCTCAAATGGTGGTGATCTAAATGAAGACCGGGCTATCACATTGGTTGGTAAAGATGAAGATGCTGATGTGTTGGATGATGTAAAACAGATGGCAGAGGCTGCTGCTGCGGCCGGTGCAGGGCAAGCAATTTTGTCTTTTGAGAATCAACTACGTCCAATTGATAGGTATGTTGTGCGTTTTCTGGAGTTGTGGGACCCTATCATAGATAAAACTGCAGTGGAGTTGCAAGATCGTTTTGAAGAAACAGAATGGGAACTTGATCACTTAGAAAAGCTAAAGGAGGATATGGAAGCTGATATGGATGATGATGAAGAGCCTTTAGTTTATGAAAGTAAGCCTTCTTGTATAAGTATTTTCTTCCAAGTTTTGTTCTTGGCACTGCTATATTCTGAGAGATGTAGTTGACATAGTATACAAATTCTTAAGTTATAGTTTCTCATAAATGTATTGATCTTGTGCATATACTTCTTCTAAGAACTTATACTAATTGGATTTTCCTATTGGCATCAGAATGGGATGCTGATTTTGCAACTGAGGCTTACAGACAGCATGTGGAGACATTGGCTCAAATTCAGGTCTTCATCTCATCATTGTCATTCTTTAAAACTGCTCCTATGCCTCCCAAGGAGTGAAGGGAGGGGTAAGGGATTAAACTTGAGTCCAAATTTTATATTCTCTAACTTCACCCAATTTTTGTCTGACTTAATAGTTGAAGGAAGAATTGGAATCTAAAGCTAGAGAGAAGGAGCTAGCTGAGTATGAAAATTCTATTGGGTAAGCTCACTCATAATAACTTTCTTTTGGGACTTGCCTAAGACACTATTATGTCTTTTCACATTTTGGGATCTAGAGTTTAGATAGTTCTATTTTACATCAATCACTCAATGGTTTGTCACACGAGCTTCTATTTGTTTGGCAGCAATGATGTTGTAGCTTCTTCTAAGCCCAAGCTAAAGAAGAAATCAAAGAAAACAAAGTTCAAATCTTTGAAGAAAGGTGGCCTAGGTGCTGAATCAAAACCGATGAAAGATGAGTCACCAACTGAATACATGTCCACAGATGATGAGATATATGAAGAGGTTGTCACCACCCCAGAAATTGCATCTGCACGCTCAGTTCAACCTAGGAAGCGTAAACATGCATCATGTGGAGAGGAGTCTAAACAATTGAAGAAGTCAAAAAAATTCAAGAAGACTTCAGAGGTTTCTCCCCTATGTCTAGAACTGTCATTTCCGATCCAGCAGGATGAATCTACTGATTTAAAACATCTTGAGAGGAACACAGTCGATTCTGAAATTAAGTCATCAAGCAAGAGCAAGATGGGAGGGAGAATCACAATTAACATGATGCCAGTAAAGCGCGTTCTTACTTTAAAACCAGAGAAGGTGAGAAAGAAAGGTTTATCTAAAGATTACTTTCCTTCTGCTGATAAATGGTTGCCACAAGAAGATGCTATATTGTGTGCGGCTGTCCATGAATATGGCCCTCACTGGAGTCTTGTTAGTGATATCTTGTATGGAATCACCGGTGGTGGAGTTTACACAGGGAGATTTCGCCATCCTGTTCATTGCAATGAAAGGTTTAGGGAACTCATACACAGATACATTATTTCTGCCCCTGAAGTTATAAATAGTGATAAGGTTAACAATATTTGCACCGGAAAGGGCCTCCTAAAGGTAACCGAGGTAAGCATAAAGATTATTATAATCTTATTTTAATAAACTATGTAGCTCTATGTGTTCGACTCATGTCATGAAGCTTATATGCTCCCATTAAATGTGACAATCTAGCAGTTATTTATTTAAAAGATGATAGATGACCTAGCTTTTTGTATCCTATATTGTACTATTTGTTTATATCCATCAAGGGTGCACTGAGATAGAGAGTTTTATTTAATGATGAGATTGACAGCCAAGTAAGAGATTAGTACAAGATGTGGTCATATAAAATGATATTTCATCTATTATCTTCCTATTTATGTTATGTCATTGTTATAAATGACATTTTTTGTCAACATGTTGCAGCAACAAGAACGTAGCCCTCCATTCATCCCGATTTTTTACCAAGAACTCTTTGTTACCAAAAAGAATCCCGTTTGAAAAAAGAATCTGATTTTCATTATACTAATGTATATTTTACTTTCAAAAGGGGTCCAAACGAGTTATGTATGTCAGAAATAGCGAGTTCCAATAGGTGCACCTTACTAGATAAAAATAGAGTACCTTAGTGAAACATGACTCCTTTGTTTTCAAATGGAGGCAGTATTTCAGATCCAATTAATTATTGCAATTTTTTTGTACAGGAGAACCTACAAACATTGTTAGATGTGGCCTTGGAATTGCCAGATCGTGAACCCCTCATGCAAAGGCATTTTTTTGCCCTTCTATCATCTGTCTGGAGGTCCAGGAAAAGTGGCACGTGCATCAGTTCATCTTCACAAAGTGGTTTCAGTTGTTTAATGTTGAAATCAATGGTTGGTCGTTATTATTCTCAAAATCCCATCAGGCCACAGGCTAAATTGGCATTTACTAACCTTAGACAGTGTAGCATATTAGTAGGAGCTGCACTTATGGAGAACCCCTGTAGACAGACTGATAAGGCTGTCTCTATCTCTAAACTGAAGAAAGAAGCCTCTGTTTTTTCTGAGGAGCGGTTGGATGTTACTCTTGAACTTCAGGCAGAAAAAGATGATAATGACATCTCTATCCCACATCTCGTACGGCTTGAAATACTTGGTCTTGATTCACCTCCATCAAAACTGCATACAGCTGAAGATATCCACTTGAAGCCTTCCCAACACACAGCTGAAAACCGATTTAGGTATGGATTTGGAGTTCACCACCTTCTTTTTCTGTTTTGAGTGATATCAGTAAATGATTTGTTTACCACTTACTAGTCATAGCTGTGGTTGAATTTTCATCTTTTATCAATTCCTGAAATTGAATACGCTTGGATGTTGTATCAATTTCTGAAATTGAATATGCTTGGATGTTGTTGTTGTATCAATTCTGAAATTGAATACGCCATGGTCTCATCTGGACTGGTTTCTGATTCCCGGGAATAAGGGAATCACTATGAGTTAGTGTGATGCCACGTGAATAAATGAATTCCTGCGGTTTCTCAATATCTGAATTTGAGTGCATTACATAGCTCTCTGATACGCATGGGATCTGGTGATTCTCGAGAATTGGATGAATTTCTTTCCTTTGAAATCGAGATTTTATTTAAATCTTAGTGATAAAATCCTTAGTAATCTATTTCGTAGTAATTCAATTGCTACAACCAAATCAACCCACATGAGGCCGTGGAGTTCTAAGTGGTTCCATGACTTCCATCAGACCATCTCTTGTATGCAATTGAGTGAACTCCCATCATTACGTTCGAGATCTTCCCTAAATCTTAGTAAATCATTCCCAATCACCAAATCAATCTAAAGATGTCTCTTTTTCATCTGGTCTAAAGATATGTCTAAATTTGTATTTGTTTTACACCAATGAACAGTCTAGTCCTGACATCATATCCATGAACGGAAGAACAATATACCGCATCTCCATATTTATAACTTGTACTCACCGAGCATGTTTTGACTTGTCTGATTAAAGAACTTTTTTACTCTTCCCCTTCAGGGATACATTAAATGCTTGCTTTGAAGGCTGTGGGGATTGCCCATCACTCACTTTTCCTACTGTGGAGTCCAAGCCAAAAACAGCATCCAAACCACCAACTGCAGGAAAGAACAAACTAGCTCATTCTGAATCAGCAAGAACTTCCAAATCAAAATCCAAAAAGGCTCCAGTCATGCATACTGATCCACATACAGCTATTGGAAAAGACCAAAGTCAAATCTTCCAACCAACCGCAGCATTAGAAGTCGGAATACATCATCATGATTTTGAAAATACCTTCACTCTCGACATGAATGACAAGGATGAACTTGATGTTGAGTGTATAGATCTTGTGCCCCACATTTACACCCCTGGCTTGTTGTCTGGGCTAGATGACTGTTCAACTTTCCTCGAATTCACGGATATTGGATAGTTTAGGAACATCATGTGTTCTTGATGAGTCTAATGTGAGAGTGGCTCGTAATTATGGAGATACAAAGTGGGCATGTGTTCCCAAACAGCTGGAGTTCCATTGCAGGTATGAAGCTGTTTTTGTTTGAGGATAGTTGTTAATTGTGTGTCGTGCTAACAGTTTTGGATCACGGAGAAGGTTGTCAAAGGCGGGGCAAATTTGAGGCTTGGTAGTACAGAATTAGGAAATTAGCTGTTTTGATAATAATATATTTAGGCAGATAGGTTTCTGTAGCTTTTATTGTTAGAGAGGAAAGTGTTGCTTGCAGTTTTTGTTTTTAATTAATTTTTTTGGCAGTACAGTCCAATTTCTGAGCTTATGTCCCCACTAACTCTTGGAAATTAGCTATTCCATTAGAAAGTACATGTGCCCACCACCCTGCCAACGTTCGGAATCGGGTTCAAATGTGAAATCGTTGCACCGCCCGCTAGTAATGTGGCGTCACCAGAAATTAGGTGAACGTGTGATGTTGCTTGTGTGACACTTGTCATGCATCTTGATTATGACATTATGTCTTTGTGAACCTTTGTCTCAAGGTTGTGTCTGCCTGGGATTTCTCTTCCTAACGAAGCTTGTATCAGTCACCTAGCAATCCTAGCATTTAGTGCACGGACTGTCTGACTAATAAAGATTAGTCACTTCTGGAAATAATGAGAACTATTGAAACCCTTGGAGTCCACTAGTTACACAAATAGTGAACTTCAAGAGGCCGGAGCATTGAGTTTCCAGGAAATGGTGAAAACGCGGGGCATTGCACTTGTCCCAAGCTTGAAAATGCTTTAGCGCCATATTGTATGATGATACCTCCCTAGTCCCTACTGTGTATAAAGCATGGGTATAATTCTCCCCAAAACATTCCTCACTTGTAGCGGTAATGGTGGTGGCTGGGTTGTTTGGCTTGGGAGTTGGAGTGGAGCAACTGAAATTTATAAACAACATATATGAGAAAGCACCAATACTCTGGCTTCTGTGCGGTTACCCGTTACCCATGTATCTCATATTGATTTCAATTATATACAACTATACAAATAATGTACGTATTTAGGCGGCATCTTTATTAACCTATCTCACCTATTTGTACAAATTAACACTACCTGTCTCATTTTATGCGTCTTACTTTGGTTTGACACAATTATTAGTAAAGTGGTTGAAAAAGTAAAAATTGTGCTTGTTATTTGAGTATAATAAACTGGAATGATGTAAAAAAACAAAGATATATGTCAAACGGAGAGGAGAGCTCTTGCGATGAAGGAAAATCCATCGACGGTGGCGGTGTCGCCACCTGGGGGAGGAAGAGTGTGGGACTGTGGGTAGGCAAGTCCTTTGCAGATGTCGTGGCTGATAGATCAATTGAATCTGGGAAGACTCATTCCAGACACAGACACAAAGTTCTGAGGGCGAAATTCAAGTTCTGGTGGACAAACACAAACGTGCATTGGTTGGTTACTTTTTCAAAGGTAAGTCTAGTCTTTTGGTTGTTCGCAAATCTTTTGAGATTATTGGCTTTAAAGGTGAATTTCAGTTGGGTGTTCTCGATCCCAAGCACATCTTGATACGATTCCAATTGGAAGAGGATTTTTTTGCAATGTTTGAATAGACTGGCTTGGATTGTTCAGTGTCATACTATGCGGGTTACGAAATGGACTCCAGAGTTTTGACCTAATGTTGAATCACCGGTAGTTCCTGTCTGGATTGGTATGGAAGGCCTTCCTATTCATCTACAGGATAAAAATGCACTATTTGAAATTGCCAGCTTGATTGGGAAGCCGTTGAAGATTGATTCAGCAACAACAGTCCTATCCAGACTGTCCATGGCAAGGATTTGTGTGGAACTAGACCATACTAAGGAGATGCCTACAAAGGTTTGGATTAATTGTGGAAATTCAGGTTTTGCACAGCCTGTTGTGTATGAAAACAAGCCTGAATATTGCTCTGCTTGCCTTCATTTAGGGCATTCACATCAAAAATGCCTTAAGCGACAACTTGATCAATCTAAACCATTTCAGAATGACAAGTGGGTTCAAAAGAAGCATACAAAATTTATAAGGGAGGACGAAGGAAAAGATATAATTATAGACTTTAATAAGCAATCTACTTCTAAAGTAGTTTTGGAAGATGTTCTTTCAGAGGATGAAGAGATCTTTTTAGATCCTATTGATCACATTGCAGCGGATGTCAAGAATCAAATTCGGGAGCTTCTTGACTCTCATGTTCCAGGAATCAAGTCATCTGCCATCAATGACATCCCAAGGATTAATGATGACTTTCAGGTTAGTAAAATTGAGAAAGCCCTTTTTTATGACCCTATTCATATAAGTAGGGAGTACCTCTCTGATAGGGAGAAAGATGTCAAAGTTCATCCAGATAATTTCATGAACTCTTGGGCTAAAATCTGCACAAAAATAGAGGACATTGTTACACAACAAAAGTTAAAAGATGCAAACAAAGAACCTGCAAATTCTTCTGATAACAGTGAATCAACATCTTTGAACAACATCACTGGGGTTTTACAACAGGAAGTGGGGTCTCAATCTGATAAACCGCAGGATGAGGCTCATTTTGATGATGAAGGTTTTATAAAGGTTGCCAGAAGAGCATCCAAGAAGAAAAATACTGATGATGGTCAACCAAAGAGAACAACTAGAAGTGTGGTCAAGGAGAAGGCCATATCAACGGGGGGTCATGAATTGTCTATTTTGGAATACTAGGGGTCTGGAATCCTCCAGTTCCAGACTATGTTCCCTAGTCCTTCAGTGGAGGATACAAATTTTAGTTCTGATGGAACCCATAGTGGACAATAGTAAAATTGATTCTTACAAATCCGTTTTAGGTTTGGACACTGCTAGATGCTCTTCTCTTAATAAAATTTGGCTCTTTTGGAATTCTTCAAACATTACAGTTCCAGATCTGTTTTGGCACTCCTAGCTGGTTCATTTTAAGGAATTTAAGGTGGTTGGAGATAACTTTGTAAGTTGGGTGACTGGGGTGTATGGTAAACATAACTACATTGAAAGGAGAGAAATGTGGGATGCTCTTGCTAACATTTCTAGTAATATTTCAGAATCTTGGATGGTGGGTGGTGATTTTAATGCAATAGCTAAACATAGTGAGCATATGGGTACTGTTTTACCTACTATTAGAGGAATAACTGATTTTTCTGATTGCATAGCTGCATGTAATTTGGTGGATCTTCCTTATGATGGGCCTCAATTCACCTGGATAGGAAACAAATCAAATGGCAGAGTTTGAAAAAGATTAGACATGGTGCTTTTTCATAGTACTTGTTTGGACAAATTTGATTCTATTAAAGTTTCAATTCTGAACAAAACTCCTTCTGATCATAATCCTATATTGGTTCAATGCTCTAATTTGGGAAGGGGGAAAGACCATTTTGGACACTATGGTTTTAGGTGAAGTTCAAATTGGCCACTAACGTTTTAGAAGGACCAAATAAACACAAAATCAACTTCTTTAGTAAGTTATGGACACTTACTAACGGTGTTGAAATGAAAACAGTGATCGTTTCTCTCTCGCTATCCACTCCAGATCCACTTCCACACTTTCCAATCTCCCTTACTAACCCAACAACGTATCCCCTCCCAAAAAAGTAAGCAATTGCGATAATGGATACTATGTATTAGGTTAGAAGTTTTCGTAGTTTTGTGTCAATCGATCTGGCAGAGGCTTCCATCATCTTTCAATTTTCTTCTTTAAGATTCCATTTCTCAGCAATTCAAATTCAAACCAGAGCTTGAAGGTTTCAGAGGAACGTGCATAACGGGGAAGAGTCATAGGTTGCCAAAACCGCACAGGTTTGCCAAAGCATTTTTTCTGTGCACTTGCTTAGATTTTTCACTCGGTTTTGGTGGATTGTAGGGTGGAATTAACTAGATTTGTAATAAAATTGAATTCCAGTGCTTAAATTAACCATTTGTCGGTAAAAAAAATCAGTATGATTTAATGTTCATTGCAGACCTATTTTCTTTAGCTTTTTATATCCCAATCGCACAATCTCTTCTTTAAGTTTAACCTTGCATTTCTAAGATTCAATAAGTTGGCCCGACATTTCCTTCTCGTTGCAACTCTACTTCGGATGATCATTCTTTTCAATAATTGAATTACAGAGACGAAGTGGCTGAGGGATAAATTTTGGTTAATGGTCTGGAGTGGATTGGAAGTCATCATCATTGAAGAAATAAAAGAACAGGAAGAAATTAATGAAAAAAGAAACAGTAAAAATTAAACAAACGGTTCTCATTTTTAAGTGACGCCGTTGAATAGGAGTGACTTAATTGAAACGAAAAAGTACTTCTGAATGTTTCATTTGTTCCAAAAATAACGTTAATGTCTAAATTGAGATACAGGTACACCTTCGGTGTCATATTTGATCTTTATCGCATTTGGAAATGACAAGGCCTAAAATGTTCAGATTCCAAAATATGTGGTTAAAGCATGATTCCTTTATGGAATTTGTTCAGGATAAATGACTGACAATCAACACAGGAGGAGGCATGAGTGGATTAGTCAAGAAGCCGAAGCATCTTAAATCTGAGCTTAAAGTTTGGAATAAGGAGGTGTTTTGGTAATATTTTTGAGGAGATTCAGAAATGTGAGCAAGATGTTTTACAGGCTGAAAAAAACTTTGAGGATTACCCTAGTGATTCTAATAGAGAAGAATGGTTCTACAAGAAAGGTTTACTTATTCAGAAGTATAAGTATGAGAGGAAATTCTGGAAACAAAAAGAAAAAATCCATTGGTTAAAAGAGGGGGATATCAATACTAACTTTTTCCATTCCTTTGTTCAAACTAGAAGAAGAAAGCAGAGCATTATTTCCATCAAAGATCAGAATGGTCAAACCTTGGATTCTCCATCAGTGATTGGGAAGGCTGCAGTCAAATTTTTCTCTGACCTGTACATTGAAAAAGAAGGCAATATTAGTCAAGATATTCTTCAATGCATACCCAAAATCATTACTCAGGAGGATAATTTAATGCTCACTAAAATACCAGACAATGAAGAAGTTAAAAAGGTTGTCTGTGATCTCAATCAGGACAGTGCTCCTCGCCCTCGCCCTGATGGATTTCATGGTAAATATTTCAGGAAATGTTGGGTCATAATGGGTAAAGATGTGGTTAGAGTTGTTCACGAATTCTTCATTGGTCTCCCTATACCTCAAGGTATTGCTAATTCTCTTATTATTATGATTCCTAAATCTGAAAACAGTACATTATTTGGGGATTTTAGACCTGTTTGTTTATCAAACTTCATCAGTAAGGTGTGTACTAAAGTTATGCCCTCAAGACTTTGTGATGTGCTTCCTAAAATTATCTCAGAAGAACAGAATGGGTTTATGGCTCAAAAAGATATTGCTGACCAAATTTTGATTGCTCAAGAAATGGTGCACTGTATTGATAAGAAGATTAGGGGCACTAATCTGATGGTCAAGTTGGATATGGCTAAAGCCTTTGATAAGATTTCCTGACAGTTTCTTTCATCTATTCCGACTAAATTTGGGTTTTCAGCTCAATTTACACATCTGGTTATGAATAATTTGAAAGCTACACACCTATCAATTCTGATTAATGGATCCCCATTTGGTTTTTTCAAACCAACTAGGGGTGTTAAACAAGGGGATCCCCTGTCACCTTTTCTTTTTATTATTGCCTCTGAAGCTTTTTCAAGGGGGCTTAAGTGGATGGTTGGGACAGGTAGGATTAAGCCTTTCTGGATGGGTAAGAATGGTGTGCCTATATCTCACTTGGGCTTTGCTGATGATCTCCTTATTTTTCTAAATGGTGAGGCTAGATCTCTGATGAATTTTAAAAGCTTTCTTAGTAGATATCAAGAGGCTTCTGGACAGGAGATTAGCTTTGAGAAAAGTTCTATCATATGTGGTAAATCCAGTGTGGCAAGAAAGAATAGAATAAAAACATTACTGGGTATGAAGTTGGCAGATCTCCCTATTAAATACCTTGGGGTTAATCTTCATAAAGGCATTAATAGGTATAAATATTGTGGGAATCTCATAAAACAGTTTGAAACAAGTTGACCCCCCGGAAACAGAAAAATATTACTCAAGGTGGAAGATTGATTCTAATCAAACATGTTCTGAATGCTATTCCTATGCACATTCTTGCAGTTGACAATTTACCTCGAAAGGTTATTAAGACTATAAACAAAAAAGTTGTCTTCTTTCTTTTGGGGCTCCTCAAATCATATGAAGAAACATCACCGGATTTCTTGGTCTAAGCTTTGCCTCCCTACTTTGGAGGGGGGACTGGGGATAAGATCATTATCTGATCTTGAGAAAGCTTATTCTCTTAAGCTTTGGTGGAAGTGGAAGACAGGGGACTCACTTTGGACTCAATTTATTAAAAAGAAATATGAGAGAAATGGAGCTATGGTACCTAAAATCACAGATTCTGGCATTTGGAGACGTCTATGCTATGTTAATGATCATGCTACAGCCCTTGTTTCCTTTGATGATGCCGGGAACATAACCTGGAATAATGAGATACATGGGTTTGAAGAAGTGAGAGAGCTCTCATTCAGTTCAATTAAGTTTCAGAATATTTGGGAATCCAAGTTGGAGCTTAAAATTAAAATTTTACAATGGAAAATGGCAAAATGTATCCTGCCTATTACAGATATGATGGGGAGGTTTTCTATGGCGCTTAATCCCTCAATATGTCCTTTGTGCGGGAAGAATAGGGATACTATGAAACATTTGTTCTTTCAATGTCCCCAGGTCTTACAGGTATGGAGATATTTTATGGGAATCCCTTCACTACTTGAGTTCGAACATCTTACATTTGGATCAGGAAGATCAATTGGCGATACTAAAAGCCTGGTAGGAGTGTTCAGGAGGAATATTTTTGGTATTATATGCTGGCACATCTGGAAAATATACTCCAATCAAATTTGGGGGTCGGGGGGAACTGTCCCAACATCGGATCAAATTATTCTTCAAATAAAATTGTATACTCAAGATTGGGTGTTAAACATCTCCAATATGAAAGTAAAATCCGTGGGAAACATTTTGTTTGAAGAGCAGCTTATCCCTAAAGGATTTAACTTAATCAAACCTAGGATCCAGGTGATTCGTTAGAGGAAACCGAACAACAAAGGTAAAGTTAATGTTGATGCAAGTTACTTATCTCATAAAGTGGCCGAAGGTGCTATCTACAGAAATGAAAAGGGTGAGTTACTGGCTTCCATTAGCTTTTGGCTTCAAGCTTCTTTGGCTTTGGAGGCGGAGCTCCTTGCTATCCTCTTCGCAACGAAATGGATGGTTTATCGAGGCTTTGATGGGTTTATGGTGGAAACTGATTCGATCTTAGCTCTGGAATATCTGGAGGAGGAGAAGAAAAGCCTATGGAAGGATAAGATTTTGGAAATCACGCATATGGCTAAAAGGAAACTGGTGGTTTTTGGACATACTATGCGAGAAGCAAACAAAGTGGCCCATTATCTAGCAACAGAATGTGTGGACTCTTTCAGCTCTTATGACAGCCCAAGATCCCTACCTACTTTGGCTCGACGGGCCTTTTGGACAAACTATTTTGGGATTCCTTCCCTTCGTTATTAATTTCTTTTTATTTTGATTGTTATTTTCTGATGGGTCAGGTCCAGCCCCCCATCAGTTTTTTCTTTAATTTCTTTGGTGTTTTTTTGGGAAGGGATGTCTTCCCTGTAAAGGTTTTTGGTCCAGCCCAAGTCCCCCTTTCTTTTGTAACTCTTTTTTATTAATAAAATCCGGTAAATGTCCCCCGACATTTACCCCACTGATTTTGGTGGTTTGTCTTCCGGGGTGGAAAAAAAACTGGAATGATGTAGACTACATTTTACTTTGTGACACTTTTTTGGGACAAACAAAAAAGAAAACAGACTATGTAAAATGGGACGGAGGGAGTACCAAATACGTCCTCACACTTGTATCTAGGCATGGACTGGACCGGTTCGGCCCGGCTGACCGAGTCTGGGACCGGGGCCCGAACTGGGGATAGGGCGGGTGGGCTACGGGACACTGGAATTGCTGATCGGCTCAGATGGTCCAGTACCAATTGCAATGTTTACACATAATGACATTTTTTTTTGCGATCGGAGTTGGCATTGCAAGGAGGTGGACGACTGGACGAGGCTGCAGGGAAGGTCTTCAATTTTTTTTATATATTTTTAATGTGTTTTATCTATTTTTATTTATTTTTAAAGTTTTTTAGTTATTTTTTATTACTATTAGTTACTCCCTCCATCCCGAATTAATCGTCTGGTTTTGACCTTCACAGAGATTAAGAAAATGAAGTTGACTTCACACTGTAGCGACACTGTTTGGCACTGTAGCGACACTGTTCGACACTGTGGCGACACTGTTTGGCACTGTAGCGACACTGTTTGGCACTGTTTTACACTGTTTCGTATAGATTTGTTTACCAAATAAGGAAAGTTTCAAAGTAGGACAATTATTTCAGGACGGACCGAAAAGGAAAGCATGACAATTATTTCGGGACTGAGGGAGTATTTTATTATTTTTTAAAAATAATTTAATTTTTTAATATTTTACTATTTTTTATATATTGAAATATTTTTTATTATTTTTCGCTTTTATTATAATGTAAAATATGTTTATCCTGTTAAGTTACGATAAGAGTAGAACTAAAAAAAAAGATAGAGTGTACTTTAGTTCTATTTCGGAAAAATAAATAACATAGTCCTATTTGTGCATTTATGATTACTTTAGTCTTACTTGGGAGCTATTTTCCAAAAATATATTAGTGATGGAATCAAGGTAAGAAAATGAAAAAAGAAATAAATAAGTTTAAGTACAAAGAAAATTGACCAAAAGTTAGCATGGTGAGAAAAAAATATTTTATAAGAGAGTAACTAATTCCAAAAAAAAATATAAAAATGAAAGTGAAATAATAGACGGGAAGAAGAAAAAAAGAAAAAAAGGAATACATAAACATGAAAAGAAATAAAAATAAGAATAAGAGGACGAAGAAAGAAAATAAAAGAGTCCATATGATAAAAATAAAAAGGGATTTTTTAGGGAGGTTGAATATATGATAAAAGGGTAATTACCTTAATAGGAGTAAAACATTGCATATGTGCATAAATAGGGGTTCGATGTTTTAAGGGCATCCTCCATCCATGAGTTTATTTGAAGATCAATTGGATGTTGTGTAAGATTATTTTAAAGATTATCATTGTGAACGAGACATTATTTAGTGAGATTATTGAAAAAGAAAATCTGGTATCGAGATTCAAATCTCGGATTATTTTAGACCGTAGTTAAATTACATTTAATGCATGTCCAGGAAAAACTGATTATTTGAGTATTATTTTTGATGAAGAGTTTTAAATTTTGAGATTATTCAAAATTTATTGAATAAATGTGATATGACAATGATGTGTAATAAAAAAATCGTTTATTTAGAGAGCATGAAGGATTGAATGAAGATGCTCTAATAGGAGTAAAAATGTTTAGAGTTCAATGTTTAATAGGAGTATAAATGACTTGACTAAAATACCATTAATGAAATTCTAGATTTATTACAATTAAAAATAAACTAAAAACAAATCAAAACCCGAGCACTATTGTTCAATAAGTGGCCAGTGAGCCGCCTCAGTCTCTGTCCGGCGAGTCCGCCACCGCCGCCATCTGGCGAGTCTGCTGCCGTCTGGAAGAACCACGGCCGCCGGCCTTCGTTGACTCCAGGGAGTCATCACCGTCCGGATGAACAACCACCTCTAGCCTCCAGCGAGTACGCAACCGTCGAGCTCTCATTTACCACCACCGCCGTCCGCCGGTGTTCATCTGGCGTCGGCGTAGAGTTATCAACTGCTGCTTCCTTCTCCTTTAGATGTACCACCATCTCCGTTGCTTTGAGCGTCTCTTATAGCCATCTTGATAAAAATGACATATTATGTCAACAACAACATTCAAGCCTTAATCCCAAAAGAATTTGAGGTTGACTAACATGAATCGATCTATGATATCGATGCCAAACAGAGAAGACGAACAAGAAGAGAAAAAAAGTAAGATGAAACGGATAAAATAAAGATAAATAAATATAAGATAACATAACACAAGGATATAAGAAACATAAAAGATAGAAAGATAAAAGAACATAAAAAAGCTATAAGATAAAAATAACATTAGAATATAAAAAGATAGAAGATAAACGACAAAAGAGAAGAGAGAGGAAAGGTAGAAAAGACATCAATCGTCGACGCGGATGTGCACCCCCACTTTGCTCTCTCCAAAGCCATACTCTCATCCAATCTAAGAAGACGCATATCATTTCTGATTTCTTTAATCCAAGTCTGTTTGAGTCTTCCCCTCCCAATCTTCTCTACCTCTAATCCAATCCAACTTTTCTCAACATCAGATTGCGTCTCATCAATAAATAGAATAGCGTCGGCAAACATAATGCACCACAGTATATCTTCTTCAATTGACTTCGTAAGTTCATCCATGACTATAGCAAATAAGAAAAGACTTAGAGTAGATCCTTGGTGCATTCTGATAGTAATAGGGAACTCTGCGGTCCTCCCTACACTAGTGCGGACACTTGTAGTACAAGCATCATACATATCATGATACTGATATACCTACGTGATATGCTTTTTCTAGTTAAGTGACGAGCACTTTGTCACGGTGCGTCAAAATAAATTCAATACTAAACACTTATACATAGTATAGCGTAGTAGAGTTCGTATCCACAGGGAAAGGAATGATTCTCTTTTTATGAAACTAGTAATTAAAAGGGGGTTTTTGGTTTTGAATGATTTAATTTAATTAAGAAACTAAGATGAACAACCTATATGTGTTTAATTCAAGAATAAAAGGGACTTGGCTTTGCTACTTTCCACTTGTTGATATATTTTAGTCGATCCTTGTCATATCTATAACTTATCCCCTCTCGAATACTCAATCGAGGAGTATCTCCAATTCATCGAGGGTAGTTATTAACAACGACCGTTCATTAACAACCCTTACTATTAATCAAATATAGAACAACGCCGTATACCGATATAATAGTAGCATTCAATCTTTTTAACTCCTTGATGAAATCAATTGAGATTGATAACATTAACACAACGGTTTCGGTTTAACCAACAAAATTGACCCCTCTTAAGTTTATTAACCACGACCGTGCATTAATAAACCGAAGTTACTTACTTGTGAAACCACCAACGATTAACCATCGGTTCGTTGGTCGTTTCTAGTAGTAATTAATGTCGGAACGTTAACTAATCGTCACTTAGCAACCTTCCACCATTAATATAGAATGAGATTAAGGGAAGAATTAATAATCAAGAGAAGAAGTTAAGAAAATAACTCACAACTTTAATAATCAACAAGCTTCAAGAGCAAAACCAAGAATGGAAGTTTAGCTCCTCATTTGGAAACTAAACATAGCTAGAAAAATATAAAGAAATGCTATTCTAAATTGAGCTTAAGAGTATGGAAGAAGGGATTATTTTTAGAGAAGAAAAAGTGTGCTATTTATAGGTGTTTTTCAACACCTTTGGCCGGGTACCCGACCGGGTCAAGTACTTACCCGACCGGGTCCGGTCAAAATCAGATAATCCGCCACGTTCTGGTGATCTTCGCACTTCGTTTTGTCCCGGGTCACATCTGACCCGACCGGGTCAAGTAGGGGATCCGACCGGGTCCAGTGATTTTCTTGGCAATTTCGTCTGATAAATCATACCCGACCGGGTGGGGGTTTCTACCCGGCCGGGTTTTACTCCTGGGCAGTCAAATTTCTTGTTTTCTTCTCTTCAAAGTCTTCCTTTCCAACACCACAAATCCTAACTATGCTTTACAACTTATAAATAAAGACTAAAATACAATTACAACTGAAATCATATAAATGTTTACAACCTAAATAAAACGTCAAACAATCAACATAAATCAAACATAAAAACATATAATTATGTACTACTAATTAGTGTGCATCAAACACCCCCACACTTAAACCTTTACTCGTCTCGAGTAAATCAAATCCGGTCCAAGAAGTCCTTAAAATGACAAGAATATCAACACACACATCCACGAGTGTTTTTAAAAACACATAAACTATATCCCCAAAAATATAACAGTAAAAAGGGTCTTCAAATCCATATTTCTTTATCAACCTCAACCTTTTTTTTCGTTACCCTTAGGATCTTGCAGAATATGGAGTTGAAAATGAACTTCCCACTTTCCTTTTTTGGATGTCCCCAAAAAAAGTTCTCATTTCCTTAAATGACAAGTTCATCTACATCAAAACAGTGTCAAACAGTGCAAAACAGTGCCAAACAGTGTCGAAACAGTGTCAAAACAGTAAAATTTACCCCATGGTAAGTTTATTTCCTTAATATATGTGTAGGTCAAACTGTGAAGTTCATTGTGGGACGGAGGGAGTATCATTCTCTTTTGGTCCTTATTGCTTGTTTCACCTCATCATTGCACCAAGACGTGTCATTTTTCGGTAGCAGACATCCTTTAGATTCTTCGAGTATCTCCTTCGTCACTTTGTTAATGGTGAACTCCATTGATAATCACACATCATCCAAATGTGCATCATTAACAATACCCCATACATCTTCCTCCAATATTTTGTGTGCAAAACTTTGTTGGAGATTCCACTCGAGCCTCCACCACTTTATCTTTGGCTCCCGTTGTACCTTAACCCGACTCCTCTTTTTACCTTGAAAATCAAGCACAGACATACTATGCTGAGTGACAGGGTTCTCACCTGGGATAACCTTACAACAAGTGTAGCTAATTTTCCAAGTCGTATGTACTAAAAAGTAGTCAATTTTATTAG